TCCAGACTTAATCAGCACTGGGAAGTCCATTTGTGTCACAGCACATCTGGAGTACCAATTCGGAAAGGGTCCCAAGCAGCGAGTCCACTCCATGGGTGAGACTTCAAAGACTTCAATCCAGGGTTCCCATTTATAATCCCAGGATGGAGGCAAACTGGTATCATCATCAATCTGTGACCAAACTGCAAGCCTGGCTTCCCGTTAGTGCTGTTTGTTTTGTCTTGTAAAACTTGGAATGTGACTAAGCCTGGGGCTTGGTTGGCCAGGCCCCCTCCAGGGGCTCAACAATCTCAAGATTTCTCCCTCATCTTATCTGTGGCTCTGCAAGTCTTGCACTCACAGCAGGCAGTCACTCCCAGTCACTCCCAGTCAGGGCAGTGTCCAGGCAGGTTAGAAGCAAGGTCAGAGGCCTGCTCTGCTTTGTCTCTGAAGCCTAAACAAGACTACTTTTTTACATTTCGCTAATAGTCTGCCCCAGGATTGGTCAGGCTGAAGAACATTGGAACAAGGCAAAATAACACAAACAGTCTTATTAACTCTGTAAGTAATTATGTAGTACATATTGTAGGATTTAGTGAAAACAGTCCATTCACAGTATTTGATGGAGTGTTCCAATAAACAGAGTTCTCAAAGTTGAGAAGTTGATCCATTCAGCAGTCCTTCTGTAGCCTTGCCACAGTCTGTCAGTACATAGGTGCAGTTATCAAAGTCTAGATAATTTAACCACCTTTGCAAAACTGTGTGATTTCATGCTTCTATTGGCTAACAGTAAGGCAGGTGAACACTTGGCTGTTGGCCAGGTGATATTTTTGTGATACCATTTGGAGATGCATTTGCTGCATTCTCAAAGAAACAGATTTAACAAGAGGGCTAACGATGCATAAAGGTAGAGAAGAGCTGCCCGGGTGCCTAGGAGAAAGGTTAGACAGAAGAATTGGGATCAGACATTGGTGCATGATGTTAGTGTTTCTGTAGGTATGAGAAGAGGCAAGAATTGGGGCTCATAAAAAAGACCACATCTTTACCTGAAAACATCTGACTATCTGGAGGCAGGTTTTGTCCATTTTTCCCAGAGCACAGATTGAGTGCCTCATTTCTGATAGCCACCCTGAATTCCTGTCAAGTCATAGTGGCCATGACTTAATCTTTGCAGAGGCAGTCTGCAAGTGCCAGTTTTCAGTTGACAGGGTCCCTTCATAGTCACAGATTTGACCATGCTTTGGGGGCATTTCATGGCCATTGTGTCCCATGGGGCTGGAAAGGCTCATTTCCAGGTCTAGCAAAGGTTCCATTGATAGGCCACTCAGTGTGCTATACTTGGACTAGGCCCTGTGAATAGCAAAAGTCTCTGAACCATACCTGTCTTACTAGCCTCTTGGTCGAGGAAAATATTCCGTCTTGTTGCTTCCTCCCATATCTAGAGTTACATTATTCAATCATTGATCTCCTATGGCACTATACATTATCATTAATTCATCAGTGGCTCAGTCACATACTTGGCAATGTAAGAGACAACAATTTTCTGAAACAGGAAACACAGAAATATAAATTAATATAGCTAGCATTTATTAGTTAGGGCACAAGCAAGAATTTAAGTCAAGCACTTTCATTAGGTATAGCCCAATATACCCCAGGTCATCTGACGTAGTTAAATGATTATAGCCAGCTGTGAATTTCCTGGTTGTACATCATAGAGCATTTGATCTTTATTCAGAGATTGACTATTGAAACAAAGCTTTAGAAACAAATTTAGAGTGTCCTTTTAACAACTTGATGAAAATATTAACAATACAATGTAGCAACAAGGAACTATCTCAGAAGTGAATAACAAAACCAGAATGCAAAGTTCAGTGAAACATGAACATTTTTCATTGTGAGGGCATTAACCCTGTAGCAAGGGAAGGCTTTATCCCATCAAATGAAAATGATGTTCATCAGGGAGCCGGGAAAAGCCAAGTGGCCATCTTGGATTTCCCATAGCCCTGGCTGTTTGGTTTATAGCTACTGCTTACCCAGTTTAAATTTCCCAATTTAGAAGTAGACTACTGCCATATTTCAAGGACATCAGGACAGCAATAGTTTGACAGTGAGGGGTTAATTTTGTAGAAGCAGGATAATCTTTCTCTACAGGTACCATAATCTTCGTGGATCATCATGAAATAATACTTATTTACTTTGCCAAAGTAACAAAAGATTTTAAAAACAAATCCATGAGTGATCATGCCATCATGATTATCTGGGTTGTGAAGATCTTTTTTGTATAGTTCTTCTGTGTGTTCTTGCTACCTCTTCTTAATATCTTCTGCTTCTGTTAGGTCCATACCATTTCTGTCCTTTATTGTGCCCATCTTTGATGTTCCCTTGCTATCTCTAATTTTGTTGAAGTTATCTCTAGTCTTTCCCATTCTATTGTTTTCCTCTATTTCTTCGCATTGGTCACTGAGGTCTCCTTGCTATTCCTCAGAACTCTGCATTCAGATGGGTGTATCTTTCCTTTTCTCCTTTTGCCATTTGCTTCTCTTCTTTTCACAGCTCTTTGTAAGGCCTCCTCAGACAACCATTTTGCCTTTTTGTATTTCTTTTTCATGCAGATGGTCTTGATCACTGCATCCTGTACAATGTCACAAATCTCTATCCACCATTCTTCCGGCACTCTATCAGATCTGATCCCTTGATTTTCTTCTTCTATTTGTCACTTCCACTGTATAATCATAAGAGATTTGATTTAGGTCATACCTAAATGGTCTGGTGGTTTTCTTTACACTCTTCAATTTAAGTCTGAACTTGGCAATAAGGAGTTCATGATCTGAGCCACAGTCAGTTCCTGGTATTGTTCTTGCTGACTGTATAGAGCTTCTCCATCTTTGGCTGCAAAGAATATAATCAGTCTGATTACAGTATTGAAACCATCTGGTGATGTCCATTTGTAGAGTCTTCTCTTGTGTTGTTGGAAGTGAGTGTCTACTATGACCAATACATTCTCTTGGTAAAAATGTTAGCCTTTGCCCCACTTCATTTTGTTCTCCATGGCCAAATTTGCCTGTTACTCCAGGTGTTTCTTGACTTCCTACTTTTGCATTCCAGTCCCCTATAATGAAAATGACATCTTTCTGGGTGTTAGTTCTAGAAGGTCTTGTAGATCTTCACAAAACTGTTCTGCTTCAGCCTCTTCCACATTCCTGGTTACAATATGTGGCTCTGTGGAACAGGAACGTCTGTGAGGAGACACACCGCATCCAAGGGCAAAGGAGAAGCCCCGGCAAGTGGGCAGGAGGGGCGAAATCACCTTTAGAATCAAACCCCAATCCTGCCAGAGACTCTCAGTGGGCTCACACATACCTTGTGCACACCAAGACCCAGAGACCCCCACATGGGCCGAGACACAACTGTGTCTGAGTGTCTCCTGTGGGGGTACGGCTCAGCAGTGGACTGCCATAGGGGCAGGGGCTCTGGGTGCAGCAGACCCGGGTATGGCATAAGCCCTCTTGGAGGAGGTAGTCATTAACCCCACCGCAGAACCGCCAGAATTCACATAGGCTTGGGGAAACAGACTCTTGGAGGGCACAAACAGAATCTTGTGCACACCAGGACCAAGGAGAAAGGAGCAGTGACCCCACAAGACACTGACCCAGACAGGCCCGTGAATGTCCAGGAGTCTCCAGTGGAGGCGTGGGTCAGCAGTGGCCTGCTGCACGGTAGGGGGCGCTGAGTGTAGCAGTGTGTCCATGGGACCTTTTGAGGGAGGTCACCATTATCTTCATCACCTCCACCATAGTTTGGCCTCAGGTCAAATAATAGGGAGGGAACACAGCCCCGCCCATTGACAGAAAATTGGATTAAATATTTACTGAGCATGCCCTCCCCCGCCCGCCCGCCCCAATCAGAAAAAGAACCAGTTTCCCCCTCAGTCAGTCTCTCCCATCATGAAACTTCCATAAGCCTCCTATCCTTCTCCATCAGAGGGCAGACAGACTGAAAACCACAATCACAGAAAACTAAGCAATCTGATCACATGGACCACAGCCTTGTCTAACTCAATGAAACTATGAGACTATGAGTCAGTCTGTGTAGGGCCACCTAAGACGGACGGGTCATGGTGGAGCGTTCGGAGAAAACGTGGTCCACTGGAGAAGGGAAAGGCAAGCCATTTCAGTATTCTTGCCTTGAGAACCCCATGAATAGTATGAAAAGGCAAAAAGACAGGACACTGAAAGATGAACTTCCCGGGTCGGTAGGTGCCCAATATGCTACTGCAGAAGAGTGGAGAAGTGACTCCAGAAAGCATGAAGAGACGGAGCCAAAGCACAAACAACACCCAGTTGTGGATGTGACTGGTGATGGAAGTAAAGTCCAACGCTGTGAAGAGCAATATTGCATAGGAACCTGGAATATCAGGTCCATGAACCAAGGCAAATTAGAAGTGGTCAAACAGGAGATGGCAAGCATGAACATGGATATTTTACGAATCAGTGAACTAAAATGGACCAGAATGGGTGAATTTCACTTAGATGACTATTATATCTACTACTGTGGGCAAGAATGCTTTAGAAGAAATGGAGTAGCCATCATAGTCAACAAAAGAGTCCAAAATGCAGTACTTGGATGTAATCTCAAAAACGACAGAGTGATTTCTGTTCATTTCCAAGGCAAACCATTCAGTATGACAGATCACAGTAATCCAAGTCCTCTTGGGTAGTCCTCCATTATGTGAGACCTGGCACTGAGTCTCTCCTTCTTCATGGAGATTTCTTGACTGTCCAGCTCTCATTGAGCCTTTTCACTTCAGCTCCTGTTATCTAGTCTCTGCGGAACAGTTTAGCCCCTAATTTTATTTTTTTTTTCTATTTGTAAATTATTTTAATTTACAAATAGAAAACATCTTGGAAGAAAAAAATGAAAGAAAAACATAAAACACACAGACAAATTTCTGTTCATCAGCTTCTCAAATCCTCACTTGTTCACCAATCCCCAAGATGAAAACTACTTTTCTAAAAAGCTATTCAGCCACCAACAATGATGTTATTAATAGGAATATGGATCAATTTCACAAAAAAGCCAATGAATCCCATTATAGCGAATCCTATTGCTGTTGCCATGGCAATCTTCTGGAATTCTTTTCTATCAGGTTTGGTGCATCTTTTAACCAGCCGAATTGAGTCTTTCACAAACTGCCGACTTGGCTCAACGAACTGCATTACCTGATCCATGGTATCTGCTCCGCGTCTGCTCACCAGCCAGAGACACGTAGCTCAAGAGCCGACAGGCTAGCCCCTAATTTTAAACTGTCGTCTCCACCCCCACCCCCATGGGGGAGAATCTTGGCTAAGTTTACATTGGTTGAACAGGGTATATTTATTGATATGCACAGTTCTTGTCTTGCATAAACGGACAGTAACAAAGGATTACAAGAATGAGGCATTTTTTGTTGTTGTTGTTGTTGCTGTTGAGAAAAATGTATGGATCATCTCAGTAATCTATTAGGGAATGGGATTTCTCCTTGGAATGCCATTCAAATTAGCAAAAAGTCTTTGTAGTTCAGAAAAAGGCTTATGGGATTAGAATCCATATTTATAAGATTTATGAATCAGAGTCTTATTCTCACAGTCTCCTTTTGGGAGGCATTTATTAACTTAGCCCTAGATAACTGAATACAGTATCCATCCCTCAAACTTCTTTAAAACCCTGGGACATTAAGATGAGGGGAAGGAGTAAGAGATGGTCTACGAAGAGGTGACTTGTAGTCATTTTATGGAGGAAAGATAGAAAAATATTATTGTAGAACAATTAAAGAGTGTAAAATCAAGTACAAACTTTGTGTGACAAAGATGACAGTGAAGAATATATTTTGTGACTTTTGGTGGTGTGAACATCTTTCTTGATTCTCTGAGTAACTCCTGGTCCTACATTCTACAATATAGATATTTATTTGATCCTGGGTTTGAGTTAGGCTGTGCTCAGTCCACTTTCTTCATTACCAATTGGTATTGTTGTATTCCTGAAGACTGATGATCTTCCAGCAGAGCTGGAAACTGCATTTTCAAAATGTCTGCACTGGATGCAGAAAAATCAAGTGTTCAATAGGAGTTATTATCTATGATAGGAATGCAAAAGAAATGTGAAAAACTAGAGAGAAGAAAAAGAAGTTGGAGCAAGTAGTAGTGAATCTCAAAAGTCATATAGAAAAAAGAATATAATAGAACACAGTCAAGTTGAGCAGTATAAACAGGAGACTAAGGAAAGAGGGAGACAGGATCTAGCAGAGAAATAAAAAGAAGTCAAACTATTTTTGCAGGTTAATTTGTTGATCTGTCATGTGCTTGAATTTCACTGCAGATTACATTCCAGATGTAAACAGCTTATGTGTTTCCTCTATTTCCCTTAGAGCAGTTTGTTTTGTAGATTTCAAAGAAGAGGACACTTGTTCTCCCTTTAGATATTTCAGTTTTCATCACACTTATCACTAAATTGACCTATCAGAATGATTCTCACAAGAGAATCCTTTTACTTATAAGATCAATTGGTATACAACAAGACTATGAGGAATAAAAGAAAACATTGTGGTTTAGAGTTAGTACCATCCTCTTGAATTATTCTTAAGTTGTCTTGTTCAATTTTTAAAATTTTAAGTTGATCCTCTTATTCTTTGAATTGTCAGTATATAAGTACTACTATAATAATGATTTCACTTTAATTTTATAATTCAGATTTAATTCACTTGACATTGTCGATAATTACTTTAAACTTCTGTTCTTTTTTTTTCACTTTTAAAATCTCTCTCTGAAAAACTGACTCAACACTAAAGGGAACAAATATAACTTTCCAGGTTATAATTATTTTAAAAATGTTACCTTTTTCAATTTGCTTTAGATAAAAGCAGGATCTCAACAGATGGAACTCAGAATTAACGTCTTGGAATCTGAACTCTCCCAGATGAAAACCTTGCATGAAGATTCTAACAAAGCAGAGTTGGAAAAATATAAGAAGTTGTACTTAGTAAAACTAGATGTTAGAAAGTCATTAGAATATAAACTACACAAGTGAGTCAAAACACAGAATCACAGAAAAGAAATTTAGGTCATTAATTTGTCTCTAAAGCCTAATTTTTATAGAGCGTGGTTCATGAGATTGGCAGAAAGTGAAAGCTAACTAGATAGTCACTGCTAAGGGAGAGCCCTAAGACAAACTATTAATATTATATCAAGTTTTTCTACACTATGAGCAAAGTCTCTGTTTCATAATTTTATTAATATATTTTTATGCATCTACACTGTTCTTCAAATTTTATGAAAATATCAACATCAGTTCAGTTCAGTTCAGTTGCTCAGTTGTGTCCAACTCTTTCTGTTCCCATGGACTGCAGCACACCAGGCTTCCCTGTCCATCACCAACTCCTGGAGGTTTTACAAACTCATGTCCATTGAGTCGGTGATGCCATCCAACCACCTCATCCTCTGTCGTCCCCTTCTCCTGACGCCTTCAATCTTTCCCAGCATCAGGGTCTTTTCAAATGAGTCAGTTCTTTGCATCAGGTGGCTAAAGTATTGGAGTTTCAGCTTCAACATCAGTCCTTCCAATGAATATTCAGGGCTGATTTTCTTTAGGATGGACTGGTTGGATCTCCTTGCAGCCCAAGGGACTCTCAAGTCTTCTTCAACATCACAGTTCAAAAGCATCAATTCTTCAGCCCTCAGCTCTCTTTATTCCCCAACTCTCACACCCATACATGACCACTGGAAAAACCATAGCTTTGACTAGATGGACCTTTGTTGGCAAAGCAATGTCTCTGCTTTTCAATATGCTGTCTAGGTTGGTCATAACTTTTCTTCCAAGGAACAAGTATCTTTTAATTTCATGGCTTCAGTCAACATCTGCAGTGATTTTGGAGCCCAGAAAAATCACCGCCACTGTTTCCATTGCTTTCCCGTCTATTTGCCATGAAGTGATGAGACCAGATGCCATGATCTTAGTTTTATGAATGTTGAGTTTTAAGCCAACTTTTTCACTCTCCTCTTTCACTTTCATCAAGAGGCTCTTTTGTTCTTCTTCACTTTCTGCCTTGAGGCTGGTGTCATCTGCATATCTGAGGTTACTGATAGAAATATCAATATTTCTATATTTCAGTATTTCATCCCAGCAATCTTGATTCCAGCTTGTGTTTCATCCAGCCCAGCATTTCTCATGATGTACTCTGCATATAGGTTAAAAAAGCAGGGTGACAATATACAGCCTTGACATACTCCTTTTCCAATTTGGAACCAGTCTGTTGTTCCATGTCCAGTTCTAAGTGTTGCTTCCTGACCTGAATACAGATTTCTCAGGAGATAGATCAGATGGCCTGGTATTCCCATCTCTTAAAAGTCATTAGGAAAATAGAAATTAAAATCTCAGTGAGATAGCACTACACACCCATTAGAATGGGTAAAATTTAAAACACTAACCATACCAAGTATTGGAGTGGATGCAGAACTGGAACTCATACACTGCTGGTGTGAATGCAAAGTGCACAACCACCTTGGAGGAGTTTGGAAGTTTCTTCAAAAGTTAAACTCACACCTACATTAAGACCCAGCCATTTTACTCCTAGTTATTTGGCCAAAGAAAAGGAAATACACACTTGGAACAGACTTGTACATCAACGTTCCTGGCATCTTTTCTGTAACAGCCCCAACTGGAAATAACATACTATTGGCAAAGAAGGTTAGGGGGAGTGACTCTCATAACTCCTGGCGTAGTATAAATAATAATTCCTATATATTTCAGCAAGAGCCATCAAAAATACAATTATCCTACACACCAAGCTGTGCATGTGTAAAATGATATATCTACAAGGGTACACATATAGCTTTGTTTATAACAGCAAAAGGATGAAATCTGTTCAAGTGTCTGTCAATTAGGTAAATACATTAAAAAAAAAAAGATACTAAATGTCCTCTATTAGTTTGCAGGGGCTACCAAAACAGAATATTACAGACTGGGCGACTGAAACAAAAGTAATTTATTTTCTTACAATTCTGGAGGCTAGAAATCCGAGATCAAACTTATTAGCAGGTTTGTTTTTCCTGAGGCCTCTGTCTTTGACTTGCAGATGGCTGCCTTCTTTGTTACTACATTTTGTTCTATATGAAAACATTGTTTTTGTAATGTCACAAAATAGAATAAATTCAACTCATCCTAAAATACCACCAATTGTGAAAAGCAATAGAGCACGTGAAATTAGCACCTCCCTCCTCTACATCCTAAAGGATTAATACAGTATCAATACAGATACTTCTTCCAGTAATAGGGCTAAGACGAGAAAGGAAAAACAGACACATATTAGGGATAATCATATGTAATGAAATGAAAAAAAAACTGCCTTAATACATTTCAAAATATAGATTAAAAAAGCTTAGGAAAAAAGACTAACTGAAATTTACTTAAGAAAAAGTAGAAAAGTTTGACTATAAACTAAAGAAAAGAAAAGAAAAAATCATCAAGTATCTCTCTCCAAAGAAGATTTATACTGAGATAGTTAGATAGGTATCAATGCCATTTTCAAAGGTACATGTCTATGAAAAATAAATAAAGGAACTTGCACCACTAAAAACTGACACCAGAACACTCACACCCCATCTGACTGGGGGGCCTCTTGCTGTTCTGCCTTTATGTGGTCCACGTGGCCTCTTCACTGACTCTGAGCAACCGGGGCCGTATTAGTTGACTGAATTTGGCAGAAAATGGTGCTAGTCCATTACCAGGCCTAGTCGTTCAGAAAACTAGCAGCACCCACATCTACCCTCTTAACCCTGCAGGGTCCCAAGCTGCCAGGTAAGAAGCCCAACCAGCTCACTGGAGAGAACCTCGCAAGAGGCCCACATGGAGGATAGAGGCCAAGCCATCCCAGTCAGGCCACCAGAGGAATGCACCTGCATCAGGGACCCTAAGTAAGAGCTGCAGAACCTCCCAGTAGAGCCCAGCCAACCTGCAGAGCTGGGAAAGTCAATCAAATCGTGTGGTTTAAAGCCATTGTATTTGGATGGCTGTTTCATTGGAACAGATGACTGAAAACACTGACAAAGCAAAGACACATATGCAGTATTACCAGCAGTAGTCAACATTTTTTCAAAAGTTCCAGATGACAAAATCAATGTGAAAAAGAAATGACTTTATATAGGAAAGTGGCCAAATCATCATCATTTACTGCTTTTTAATATTTATCAGCCAAAAC